GGTTAGTTGACGATTGGCATATTTCATGGCCCCTTTAATTCTGTTGCTCTAGAAATTACATTTAAGATCATAAAGAGACCTGCGTCCAATGTCAAGCCATTAATCATGGGGGTAAAAACACCAGATTAGGTGTTTTGACTTACAGGTTTTTTAACTAACATGATTTGTACTTTTGGGTTTACTGGTAAGCTTGTTGGTTTTAGGACAGCCACAACAATACGGGACTGACAGAAATAGGTTTACACATGAAGCATACACTGTGTTTACTTCCCTCACTTCTCCCTGATGCACTATGAATAATGCAGGCCCTAAAATCCCCAACTCAACACTGTGCTTGACCTGTTCATTTGTTGCTGTTGCCAGGATGGTGAGGTCAGAATGTGGATGTGTTAGCGTGGGGTAGAAGCAGAGGCTAATCGCTACAGCAGGACGGGAAGCAGCTTCGCTACTTCTCATGCTGCCCGTGTCACTCAGGCTGACACCATAAATCTCACTTATTTTCAGATCCAGCCGAGACACAGGCAGAAATTACGGCCCAGAGCACATTACCAGCCACAGCAGCGTGCTGAATGCTAACAGAGAGATCCTTGATAAAGCAGACAGGCAGTTCTCCCACAGATTATTGAACAAAATCCGTGAGACTTGAGGGGCCGATTGGCTAGTAAGAAAAGCACAAACACCTGCGTCAACAGATGAGAATTAAATGAAGTACAAAGCGGGCTGCACACATAGAAACTTCTTTAAGAGTATTAGTGCATTCCTTCTCCAAGGAAAGTGCTCTACAAATATAGTAATTATTATCTCGTTATGTTTTGTATACTTACTGGAGAGGAGACAGAGAGGTAAAGGACAAAAAAATATGATGTAGTACTTGATTGACATATATGTCTGTTCTGATCAACACTCAGTTTTACCCCTGCTTCCCATGGAGGCCTTTTTTTAAGGTGGTATATGTTATAGCCAGCTATAGAGAGTACTTAACAATTCTAAAGCCTTGTTTCCACCAAGCAGTTCACAGGCCCAAATTTCATAGCATCTTTTTTTCAGAGTATGGTAAAATGACTGAGTAATGCTGCTGATGTGCACCACTGGTCTCCATTTTGTGTTTAATTGCGCCATCCATGTGTGAGTGTGTGGACCATTGATGCATCACTGTGGGATCCCGCTGTGGCTTATTACTGCCAGGCCCTGTTCTCTGCAGCTCTCAACCTGCTGGGTCATCTCCAGCTGCTGTAATCTAACATTAGCCCCCGCTTTCACCAGGTCCCAACCATTTACCCCATCATGTATTATAGATGACCCTCTGGAAATGGAGGAATCCCAGCAGACACAGAATTAATTTACAGCAACCCTCGATTTTAAGGGGAATTGAATCAAAGTCAGAGGCACAGGGAGAGGAGGGTTTATATTGCTATATAACACTGTCACAGTCTATAAAATTGTAATGAAAAGCCATTTGAAGATTAAGTGTTTTTTTGTGATTCATTGGTATCTCTTGGCTCAACTAATAATCATTTCACTCCAAAGCTGACTGGTCTCAGTAATTGATGCTTACAAATGGCCAGGCTCCTTTCAACCAAACTTAATCCTCCTTTGCTCTCTTTTTTTTCTTTTTTTGAATGACTCAGATTCACAAGCTCACAAACACTGGAGGAAGTCTTTAGAAACCGAGTTAACAGGGCAGTGTACAAATCTTGTGTACTTCCCTGGTGACAATGGGATACACATGAATGTGGTGACAGGAAGTCAGGCACTGTAGATTGGTCCTGTCTGCGCTTGTCAGGTTTAACAATATTGCTCTAAACAAATGTGACATTTTATTCAACAGGCATTACTCCGGAGTTAGATTTCCCCGTTGAAAGAAAAGTAATAGTAGCTATGTCAATAGAATAGCACTGAAATGTCTTCAGTGTTTCAATACAGTGCCAAAAAAATAAAAGGTGTCTTGGGGGTCTTGCCCATGAAAATGAAAGGAATCAGAAAAGGGCTTTTGTGTAAGAGCATCCCAATAGCATAATTAAAACAACTTATAATGAGAGGCCTTTGTCACTCGATGTACAATTAGCTAAAGAAAGTAATTTCAGTTCCCCTATAGGAAAAAGTCCATGTTCATCGTATAGTATTGAAAATACACTTTGACCTCAACGGCAGCTATTTACTGAGCTGCTCAGAATTCCATAGCAATCTGTGTAATTGGAGAGCTCTTTGAGCTGAATAGGCAGAAGAGACAATCCAATGTGCATATGTGACTTTAGAAAGAAAAAGTTAACTCAAACTTGTCTTAATTGGCCCCAATTATCTTCTGTGACAATAGTGGTGTGTGTGAGTCTGTGTGCATGTGTAATGAAAGGTTAAGATGTATGTTCAGAATGATGAAGCTGTGCCATTGAACTTAAAATCCAAGGCTGTCTAGACCGCTGAGGTACCTCTAATACAGCCCAGGGCCAAATTGCAGTATTGGTGCTTTTTACATAGAGCCTAGTTAAGGCTGACGGACAAGTATTAATTTACACAGGATGTTCTTGACTGAATCCTGGCAAGTCACACCATCTTTTTCATACAGTACATTGAATACACGGTATTCTGCTCATAAAGTAACTGTGTATTTAGTCAAAACTGAGTTGAGATCTGACTTTGTGATTTCTCTTTTACCATATGGAAATTATCTTTATAATTTCTGTGCACTGAGTACTGTAGCAGTCTCAGCTTTTGACTTTGACAAGTGGAATAACTGTGGTTTGGTGTGGTCAAAGGTCTAGAGTGTATGATTAAGGGGGATTTTTTTTCAGAAATGGAATATAATATCCATAATTATGTTTTCATTAGTGTATAATGACAACACATTCTCACTCTGATCTCGTCACATATTGACATTTTGGACGTGGACTTTCAACGTCCACATGCAACTTGCAAGGTACCCTGGGTGCGTTGGTTGTTGGCGTTCTGGAATAACGTGTCAAGTTCTGCCTGTTACATGCACTGTCTTCTTTAAAGATACACCTCAGTTTTTTTTAACGTTTACATATAGTCTCTTTCAAAATAAATGCACTACGTTGGTAAAACACTGCGAATTGACGTTTTTTTTCCTTCAACAACAAACACACGGTTGGGTTTAGGCCGCATTTCCCCCTGGCGCCGCCAGTGCCATTTAACTATAACGGCAACTGGCGGCGTATCCTGCTGGCGTTGAAGGACGCCTTTTTCCGTTGGTTTCGAACGCAGCAAGTCACTGCCCAAGTGCCAGATGTCGACGACTTCGGAGTGAGACTGGGATCATAATGACGATAATGAAACTAAGAATTAATGTGCATTTTCTCCTTGGATTCCATGAAGATTATCCACATGCAGAGCACAGTATGTGCATTTTCGAGGTGTTGTGTAGGTTTTCTTTTTTAATGTTTTTTTTCCCCTGTAAAATAGAGGCAATAAAAACTTTTGGGCACACAGTTTGCTGGTGAGCCTGAAACCTTTTTTCTCAACTTTTGTAGGGCAGTATTGATCTTGACATATTTATATTTTATTTCATTTTCGTGCTACTACCTGTTGTTTTGTTTTAACATTTAATCTCAATATGTTTTCTGGTCAGTGCTGTAGTGGTAATTGATGAAGTGGGTGTGTTGCTAGGGTGTAGGTTACCAGGTAGTAATTGGGTATACTCTCCTATATATGTAAATGGCTCTTTGGCTGATAGGTGGGTATACTGTAAGCAGCCAGAAGAAGAAGTGGGTATATCCCGCATACCTGTGCATACCGTCCACTATACTAATGTGGTAATAAACTTTGTATTACTTGTGTTTTTGTTGTATACTGATCTTGAAATTCCTTTCAGAAAAGCCCATTATCAATAAAATATAGTATTATTATTATTAATGATTATAATATATTGATGAGTTTGAATCTGTGATGTCCTCTTCAGCCCACCCAACCTCCATGTGGTCTGGAAGGTAAATGCTTTTTCGGGGGGATAGAGTTTGTTGGAACTGAAGAGTTTTCACACACACGTTGAGAAAAGAGGCCAAGCATATTGAAGGTAGAAAATGGCATTAACTATGTATTCCAAACGAGGCAGAGTTTGAGACGTCTCCTGGCAGTACTCTTACTAGGCAATTACATGTGCACAAGAGGAGGGTAATCACAACCGCCACAGAGACTGCAGAGAGTGCCTTCAAATTGCTGTGGATCCAGCACTACATGAATAAAAGCAGGATCAACCCCGGCAACAGAAACACTCTGCAACTTTATGTTACATTACTGATGATGTGTCTGAGCAGAGAAGCAAATGTTTCATAGAAAAATGCCCATGTAATAGGGCGTGAATAATTTCCCTACAGGATATCTAATTCTTTAAGCATTTCATTTGTCTCCTGTCAATAATCGAGTAAAATCAAAATGCTATCTGGCGATCTGTAATTTTGGTGACTAGCCAACCACAATGTTATGCTAATTACTTTCATCAATTAGCTGGCTGAAGAGCGTGGCAGTGAGGGGAATGTTTTGTATTCATCCCGATAATTACATTCACAATAATTAGAACAACCCTTGAGTAGTTATGGCTAATTTCATATTTAGCAATTCAACACAGAAACTCAACACTATCTACTCAGAAATCAGTGGACATAAAATACTGCGGGATTCACCTTTAAAAAGTGAGGAAATTCTTTCCAGGAGACCAAACACACCAAGGTGCTCAGTGGACCTAGCACAATCGAGATTAATTGACAAAAACATGTATATTTAGCTGCTGTAACACTGTCCCGGACAATGTGCTCACCAACTGCCATCAGTCATTAGCTTCCTCCCAGCAGTGCTTCTGATTTCACAGCCATTTACCCAATAATCTCTAATTGAGCGGTGGTTGTGAAAAGCCTCTTTAGGTCATTTTCAATACTACTTGAAGCTTTTTTATTCTTTCTGAGCTAATAATCACTGATTGTCTGTCACTGAGTGGATTAGAGACCTGCCATTGCTGTGCTGATTTCTCTCTCTCTTTCTGTCTCTAGGACTCAGAGATTTTAAACACAGCTGTGCTGACTGGGAAGACAGTGGCTGTCCCAGTAAAGGTTGTGACCATTGGAATAGACGCCTCTGTTACCGATGTCTCTGAAGCGGTCAAGTGTCGCTCTACGGACGAAGATGTGGTCAAGGTCAGTAGAATGAAACCAGAGAGAGAAGTGAGCCTCTGTGTGTTTGTTTTCATTCACCTGTTTATACACTGAACAAAAATATAAATGCAACACTTTTGTTTTTGCTCCCATTTTTCATGAGCTGAACTCAAAGATCTAAAACATTTTCTATATACACAAAAGACCATTTCTCACAAATATTGTTTACAAATCTGTCTAAATCTGTGTTAGTGAGCACTTCTCCTTTGCCGAGATAATCCATCCCACCTCACAGGTGTGGCATATCAAGATGCTGATTAGACAGCATGAATATTGCACAGGTGTGCCTTAGGCTGGCCACAATAAAAGGCCACTCTGAAATGTGCAGTTTTGCTTTACTGGGGGGTCTGGGGGGGTCAGAAAACCAGTCAGTATCTGGTGTGACCACCAATTGCCTCACGCAGTGCAACACATCTCCTTCGTATAGAGTTGATGAGGTTGTTGATTGTGGCCTGTGGAATGTTGGTCCACTCCTCTTCAATGGCTGTGCGAAGTTGCTGGATTTTGGCAGGAACTGGAACATGCTATCGTATACGCCGATCCAGAGCATCCCAAACATGCTCAATGGGTGACATGTCCGGTGAGTATGCTGGCCATGCAAGAACTGGGATGTTTTCAGCTTCCAGGAATTGTGTACAGATCCTTGCAACATGGGGTCGTGCATTATCATGCTGCAACATGAGGTGATGGTCGTGGATGAATAGCACAACAATGGGCCTCAGGTTCTCGTCACGGTATCTCTGTGCATTCAAAATGCCATCAATAAAATGCACCTGTGTTCGCTGTCCATAACATAGTCCATACCATAACCCCACCTCCACCATAGGCCACTCGATCCACAACGTTGACATCAGCAAACAGCTCACCCACATGACGCCACACACGCTGTCTGCCATCTGCCCTGAACAGTGACAACCGGGATTCATCCGTGAAGAGAACACCTCTCCAACGTGCCAGACGCCATCGAATGTGAGCATTTGCCCACTCAAATCGGTTACGATGACGAACTGCAGTCAGGTCGAGACCCCGATGAGGACGACGAGCATGCAGATGAACTTCCCTGAGACGGTTTCTGACAGTTTTTGCAGAAATTCTTTGGTTATGCAAACCGATTGTTGCAGCAGCTGTCCGGGTGGCTGGTCTCAGACGATCCTGGAGGTGAACATGCTGGATGTGGAGGTCCTGGGCTGGTGTGGTTACACGTGGTCTGCGGTTGTGAGGCCGGTTGGATGTACTGCCAAATTGTCTGAAACGCCTTTGGAGATGGCTTATGGTAGAGAAATGAACATTCAATTCACGGGCAACAGCTCTGGTGGACATTCCTGCAGTCAGCATGCCAATTGCATGCTCCCTCAAAACTTGCAACATCTGTGGCATTGTGCTGTGTGATAAAACTGAACATTTTAGAGTGGCCTTTTATTGTGGCCAGCCTAAGGCACACCTGTGCAATAATCATGCTGTCTAATCAGCATCTTGATATGCCATGCCTGTGAGGTGGGATGGATTATCTCGGCAAAGGAGAAGTGCTCACTAACACAGATTTAGACAGATTTGTGAACAATATTTGAGGGAAATGGTCTTTTGTGTATATAGAAAATGTTTTAGATCTTTGAGTTCAGCTCATGAAAAATGGGAGCAAAAACAAAAGTGTTGCATTTATATTTTTGTTCAGTGTACGTACGTTTTCAATTTATGCATAAAAAAAGAGGTGGAAAAGTTGGTGTATTTATAAAAAGCAAATAGCAGCAAAGTGCAATGGAGATTTAAATATTTCTTGCGCTTCCGTCCAGCTCTGTGTAGACCACTGAGGAGACAGTAACCTTCCTCAAATTGATAAATAAAGCAAACATGAATGCCATATTTCCATCTTTTTCTCTACAGTGGTGTCGCTCCCTGAGGTTTGACTGGCGCTCAATTACACCATCTTGTTGTGGCCTGGAAAATGAGCACCACCAACTGTTTATCTTAATGCATCTAACTCTGAATATTCCCATAATGTTGGACACATATTGATTTACTTTTGATTTGCAGATTTTCTGATAATGATGTTAAAATTTGTGCTACATTTGGATGGAAATTTCTCTTCTATCATAAAAACACCTTGCCGTCAACTGACTTTAAAAAGACTATTCTCATGCATTGCTTGTATGTACACCTGCGAAAAGTAATGCATCAGAATTTGCATATAACCAGCATAATCAGGAAGGCTGGGATCACATGACCAATGCACTGATGGGAGTAAAGCAGGAACCAGTATACAGAGCAAAACTGTGTGCATTCCACTACCCATACTACTATACTAAATAGTAACCCGGAAAAGATTTAGTACATCCCAATACATAGTATGTCAAATGCAGTATGCCATAAAATACCAGGACGTTCTACTACATCCAGCAATGCAAGCCAGCATGCATTTCTGTCTGTCTGACCCACAATTCTCTATGCAGCAGACAATACGTCACATCAACTGAGCCACAAACAGATGACGGCTTGTCAACCCACTGACAGCTGCTTAAGGGCAGCTGCAGTACCTACAAAAAGTAAAAAGAAAAAGTATGTGACTCAGACCGCACCCTCAGTGTGAGCAGGCAGGTTGGGGTGGTGGATGAGTCAAACAGACACAGGACTTTCCCCATGAGACCGGTGTTTGAAACCAAGTAAACTTTGAGTTATTCAAAGGTACATCATCACCATTTTTCTTGTCTTTATACTAACCTATGTAACTTTACCAGCCCAAAACTTACCACCATACCTTGACCTTAAAGCCACAGTGTGTCGGAATTTCTCTCATCTAACGTTGAGATCATATATTGCATTCAAACGGATAGCATATTGTAGCGCCTCACTGTTTCAAACGTGTATTGCAACAATGGTAGCTGCTGTGTACCAAAAAGCTATGATGACATTGATGAAGACATGTCATCCGATACTTCATGGAGTATTCATTCAGTTGACAAACCTCCTCCTCACCATGCTGGCTGTGTTTACAAGGTAGGACTGTTGGGGCGGGTGTAAATCGAAACAAAACAATCACGTCTTGTCTTTTGACAACTGACAAGTGGCTCAACCTCACACACCTCATCCCTCTCCTCGCATCACTGCGCCGCTAACAGCGACTAACAACTGTTAGCGGCCAGCACCATTAGCTGTTAGCGCTGTTAGCTGTGATTGCGTTACCTTTCTCCTTCAGCAGCTCTTTCCTCCTGGGAAAGGCTACCCCAATGTTGACCCTCGTTTTTTGAATTCGCTGGTCATGTTGCCTTTTTGATTCCCTTTTGGGCTATCTTGGCGACGAGGATTCTGTCTCCCGTGATGCTGCGTATGCATGATCCTGCATTATGCTCAAAGAGTGGGATGCTGTTATGCTGCAGTAGTGCCAGGGTGGTAGCGAAGCGCTTCTTCCTTCTCTCCTTTGGCTACTCAGTCATGCAGCGCTGGCCTGGCTCTCAATGAAAACGCCAAAGGCAGGGCTGTATGTCCCTTGCTGGCGGATGTATTCTCAAGATGGCGAAACGTTATGGAACCCCCCAGACGACTTACCCGCACAATGTACAAACAAATCCGAAATTCTCCTTTTATGAGAATAAGTCAGATTATTGGTGGAGGTAATAATACACCAATGATGACATATTTATGAATGCAGACATCTTTTTTGCCAATAAACAACTGAAAATGTTACACAATGTCCCTTTAAGTACATAACTTTACATTAAGTACGTAACATGACGACATTCAACCAAGTATCTTCTCCTAAACCTAACCAACGTAACTTTGCGTGAAGCACCTAACTTTGTGTTAAGTACATAACAACGCCATTTGTGGGAGGCTAATTTGTGAAAATTCAAATTTGATATTTAATTGATTTGTATTTAATTAATTACAATGCTTATAATTGAATTAGTAAGATTTTTTAGTGTTTCAGACTGTTTATGAATCCATCCTGGTTATTAGAGCAACTGAATTGCAATACCTAGTTAATATCAAACAAACTGAAAAACAAACAAATATGTGCTATTGATTGACACTTTGCAGGTAATGTTTTACAGACACAGTATTAGAGCTCATGTGAGAGCAATACTGTGAGTATTAAAAATGAGAAAGATGAGAAGATTTTCTATGTTTAGCACATCTATATAAATCCTCCTGAAAGGATAAACAAACAACATGAAAGTGTGTGTTTGATATGCTGTGACTGCTGACAGGTTGCTCAAGTTTTCCTTTATTTTTAGAGCCCCTTTCAAACCTGGGGCACAAGGCACCACAGAGTAAAAAGTCCTTTACAGTATTATAAAGGTGAGCCCTGGTATCAGTGGCTTTCCGAAACAAAAGAAGAAGTCACTCTCCAACAGAATCCCAATGACCTCTTAATAATCTATAGACTGACTCAATGAAAAACCAGAGAGAAAAATCACATCTGTCTGAGTTCTGTTTCCAACTCTAAGTGGCTGAGATGTTGCTCTGTGGTAGAAACAGCCCCCCACTGTGCCGAGGGCTCCCTCCAATCTTGTTTGAACCTGTCAAGATCAGAAAGGATGATAGGATGCAGCAAATCAAACTCAAGCAATCTACACTAAAGTGCAGTAATGAAACTAAATTAGAACCTTAAGCAGTGGAGGATATTTTGCCACATTGATCCACTTTATCATGTCTGACGTGTGAGTTGGGGATGGTTAAGTGAGTTCCAGAGAGAAATTAAATTGCAGTTAAAGAAGTTTAAAAGAGCCACAGCTCTGCCGTTGAGACCTCTGGGTCAGAGCATTCATGCTGCGTGTTCACGGCAGTTCACTCAGGGAAGTTCTTCTTTAATCATAGCCCCTGATCATGTGAGTAAACATGACTAATTTATTTAATTTTGACCTGGGGAATTAGTGAGAAGAAAAGGCAAAGTGACGTTAAACCTGAATAATGAATCACTGTGCACATTAGATGATGCTTCTACTCTCTTGTGGCCTTATAATTATAATGGATTTGAAATAAATACC